CATTTATAACAGTTTAGTGGCTAATTTAAAAAAAAATTATGATGTCAAAATATCATTTTATGGGATTATTTTGTGTGTGTTTGAGTTATGGGATACAGCTTTGTCATAATTATTCAACCCCTATCCAACACTGCTGTTTTTAAGTCACTAATATACTGCCAAAGACTTGCAAGATGGCCTGATGAAAGGAGGAAGAAAAAAACATTTCAATGCAGAGTATAAGAACACTAGACAAGCATGGCCTTCATGTTGGGACATCTTGCCTAATGCCACTCTTGACCAAGAAGAACATAAAACACCGACTTGAATGTGCTAAAATTCATTTGGATAGACCCGAGGAGTTCTGGAAGAGTGTTTTATGGAGTGATGTGACCAAACTGGAATTTTTTGGACCCATGGATCAGCAGTATGTCTGGTGCCAAAAAGGCAAAGCTTATGAGCAGAAGAACACCATCTTCATGTTATAGGAAGTGGAAATCTTCACTTTATGAAGGACATCAGGGATTCCTTGAAGTTTCAGGCCATTTTGGCAAAGATTGTAATGCCTTCGGTGCAAAGACTCAATCTTGATGATCAATAGACTTTCCTGCAGGACAGCCGTCCCAAAATATACATCCAAATCTACTTAAGCGTGGTTCAGGGATAAGTCGTAGAATGTTCTTCAGTTTAGTCTTCAGATTTAAATCTCATTGAAAATATTTGGTGGAATTTGAAGAAAGCAGTAGCTACGTGAAAACCAAAGACTATCAGTGATCTGGAAGCTTTTTCAAGCAAGGAATGGGCCAAGATTGCAGTAGAGAGGTGACAGAAGCTTCTAAGCACTTGCAGGCAGCGTTTATTGAACATTATAAAGAATAAAAGATTCTGCACAAAATTTGAATTTGTGTGTATACAATATATTTCAGTCATTTTGTTTTCTCTGTATCACTCTGTCTTTTTGTATTGGTTCATATTGAGTCTTTCATATCTATTTAAGCATTACTTACAAGCTCTCTATGTCCCTCTCTTACCAGGTGTTGCCTGCAGATGCTGGATCTCAGTGGACTTCAATGTGAAAATGGGAGAGTTGAGGACTCGATGGGTGGATGGTCCCTCAGTGTTGCCCTGTGCTCAATGGTGCTACAAGCTCGAGCTGCTGCCTCCAGGGCTCACAGGAGAGATGGAGAAAGAGAGAGAAAAAGAGGACTGGAAGCAGAACGCGACCGGGGCACCATCAAACGAGACCGGGGCAAGGTAGGGTGCGGGAATAGTGGTGAATGGAGTCAGGGAGGACACGGAGTGGAAGAAGTAGAGAAGATGGAGTGCAAAACTAATGAACGGATGTTACCAGAAGATGAGTCAGTAAAGGGTGTCAGGAGGAGGATGGAGATCCAGAGAAGAAAGACTTTATCTGAGGGGAAATCAGACACCAGCAGTAATAGCAGTAGGTTATGCGACCAAGACTGGGACGAGGTAGTTGTGGTCTATGTCAGGGCTGACCTTTTTGTCAATTCCCGTTCCTGGGAGCGTGTCCGTGATGCCCTTAGTCAACCAGGTCCACTGCGGCTCCACTGCCGCTACCTCCGCGTGGAGGAACTCTCAGCGCCCTCCATAGCTTCCTTGTTGGGTCTCTTGCCTCAGCAAAATCTCCTCGGTGTGGACATCCGCTACTCCAGCCTTGGGGTGTCAGGCCTGGCTATGCTGCTTCCACTGTTAGCACCCTTTCCTCAGCTGCACTCTCTGAGACTGCATTACTGTAACTTGGATTTACAGCGCGCACAGCCTGGCCAGCAGGGGGCACTTCAGGACATGTCTAAAGGACTGGGATCACTGAAGAAACTAAAGAGATTATGTCTGACTGCACTCCGACTGCCGGGACACCTGCGCCTGCTGCTCAGGTACATTCATACACCTGTGGGATTAAACAACTGTATTTGCCATGTCCACTCATACACTCCTACAACACACACACACACACTTCATTAATTTAGTAGGAGGGTCAATAACTTTGAAAACTTTTTTTTTTTTAATTAAAAAAATGCAGTTCATACATGCAATGATGAATAGATTGCAATATTTTATATATTTTTGGTGTATGTATGTTTGTTTGATATTTTAGAGTCATTAATTTGACAGCTTGCTTGACAATGTATGAAAGTTTTTCAAAACCCTATGAAAGCAACATTTCTGTGAACTTGGCACATGTTTAAATCTTCTTTTTTTCTGTTTGCAGCTCTCTTTCCCAGCCTCTGGAGGTGCTGAAGCTGCCATACCTGTGCCTGACCTCCACGGACCTGGCCTACCTCTCCTGCAGCCAGCATGCTCCATTCCTGAGAGAACTTGACCTGAGTGAGAACTGGCTTGATGAATCGTCCCTGCCCTCTCTGCGCCGTCTCTTAGCTCAAGCCGAAAACTCTCTGTGCCAGCTTTCACTTTGTGGTTGTGGCCTCTCAGACACTCTCCTGAGTGCTCTTCTTCCCTCCCTGTCCAGCTGTCAGGCTTTACGTAGATTAAGATTCGCCTTAAATCCGCTCTCTAGAACGGGACTGCTTTGCCTGGCCCGTACAGCGGCAGGAATCCCTTCTCTTCGTCTGCTGCTCTATCCCAATCCACTAGAGGAATATGAGCCTGGTCTGCCGGCTCTCCCCTCCAGTGCTCAGCTGTTGGATTGGCCTCTGTTAGAGGAGTCTGAGGGCAGGGACTTGACTCTGAGGTTACTGGAAGAGGTTCTGAACTTGAGAGGACGATCCCGGGACCTTCTCGTGACCTCTGACCTTCTAAACTATAGCCCAGACTTAACTGTGGATGAATAGAGGGTGAATGTCCCAGAGCTCACTCTTTTAATAAGTATGTGACAATCAAAACTATGCTTAAACTAGTACTCTCAGATTATGTTTTAACCACTCATGGGGAATGTACTTGTGGTTGCCAAGCTTTTTTCAGTAACAACAAACCTTAGCTTATACACACAATCGTATAAAAAGGCTGGCTAGTGGAAACCTTCGCATTATATTGTATGCAGCTTCTCACATGAAATGATTTTGATTTGTATTTGTTTAAGTTATCCATTAAGTATGGTTTTATTGCTTTAAATCATACTATAATAGGGCAATGTTTATGGCAAACACCGATAGAAGGAACCTCTTAAAAGTTTTTTTAACTGAACTCGTGTTGACTTTCTGTATTTTCTATGCTACCAAAATAATAATAATAACAGCCCAAATGTTTGTATTTTTCAGGCAAAAATCTGTTTTGTTTTTTTGTGAATATTTAAAATGTTAAGGGGGTTTTGAAAAGCACTTTTCCAACATAATTATTTGTCCTGGAAAATATTTTAGTACAACAAAATTGTGTTAATAAGAGTGTTTTTGTACAAATGTGTGTTATGTTACTGTCAAAGGTTGCAGAGTGTAAAACATTGTCAGAACGTCTTCTTGAACGAAGAAGCCCTGTCACATACAAATATTATTGTCTTAGTACATTTAATTTACTGTCATTCCTATTATACTTTGACAAAATAGTTTAAGTATTAATATACTGCAAATCGAATCTCATGATTTACCCCATTTCCAAAACTATTTTTGAATCTACATTTTTTTTCTCTGTATTTTTTAATACAGAGAAATTTAACTATTCTTCTGTGCAATAGAGGTGTAAATTTTCACTGGCCTCACAATTTGATTCGATTACAGTTCAGAGGGTAACCGTTTGATTACAAAATGATTCTAAATGCATCACATCCTCCACAGTGTTTTTTCTCCTTTTTTTCAGTACAGGGTTATTATAGTTAAAGCTGCAGTCCGTAACTTTTCTTTGGTTAAAAATGATCCGAAATCAATATTTGAGCAAGTACATAACCAGCCAGTGTTCAAAACTATCTCCTTACTTTAGCCCGATTCACAACGGTTAGCTTATAATAATGTTTTCTAATTTGAGTGGTACGGGAAGGTTGTCGCAGGAAATTCGAGCATGCCGCTGCGTCATTACGTCACGTCTGTAAACAAAGAAGTTGTCCCAGCTACTAGGCTATCGCTAGGCTATCGTGGATCCTGCAGGCGGCCGATCGTTTATAGCCTTTTCTCACTGCAGCTAGAATAATTAAATGTACCATTTTGATGGTGGATTGTAATCCAGAAAGGATTATGTGTTTATGAAACGCATGTGAATGAAATTAAATTATATTCCAGTTATAAATGGGCTTCTGATTACAGAGCCTGGGATTACAAAGATTTGTATTTTAAAGAAAACCAGTTCGAAGGGATCATAATTTGCTTTCTGGGTTAAAAGAATTTCTTAATATGAAATTCGAAGAGTATGACATTTAGATTAGACTGTGCAGAAATTGAAATCTAGACGGTAATACACACTATACTCATAGTCACGTAATGCTGATGTTGTTAATATTAATCATTTGAGAATATAGTATAACAATAATTTGAACGGTTTGATGTGATATGAGCTAACTGAACTTTAGATTTAATCACCATTGGTAGTGAGATCTATGGTAATGCTTTTTTCCTCAGTTGGTCAGAACGAACATGGCAGACTTGTTACTTACTTGTTCAGATGGCAATATACGGTGAAAACTATTATTTAGGTCATATATTCCAAGACGTAGGCTAGAATCTGTGATTGCGAAGTACAGTATATATCCACACCGGTGCGGTGACTGACTGCCACACACACATACTCCTCAAAACATTAGATTCATCCACGCTGGAGCCGTGCCGGAGCACAACCCACGCAAGCTAGATAATTTTGCACACAGCTACAATTCCAGGTTTTCAAACGGAGATGGCGACAAAGAGGCAAAACTTACGGACTGCAGCTTTAACAAAAACTAAAAACATTTTTGTTACTTAAATGGTATTTGAAATAAAATATATATAAAAAACGTATTTCAGCTATGTCATTATACCAAAAAATCATTTATCATTTAAATACTAAAACATAATACTCTTATAATAAAATAATTAACAACAAAATGGAATAAATGATTACAATTAATTAATCTGTCTATCTATCTGTCTGTCAGGTAGAGGGAGAGGATGAGGTTAGAGTTGTTCAAAGAGTATATCAATAACAGTATATCACATCATCATTTGACCCCTTCATCCATCCTAAAGCCAAAATACCAAAACCAATACCTATACAGGTTACTGGGCTGCACAGAACTGATTTCACAGCATTTGTAAGCCTTGCTTTCCAAGGCTTGCTCTGCATGGGGTCGGACCGTGTTTCGTTGCTGCTGCAGACCATTCTGCACGACACAACTTCCCCAGCGCTCAAGAAGGTGTCATGTAAAGCAAGGCTTTCAATGTTCTTTGCTTGGACCTCAATATGTATGTGTTGAGCCCACATGATGTGCATTGGCTGGCCCAATAACGTCCTAAAATTCAGACACTTTAGGGCCTTTTCTGCATCCTGGCAGTATTTAAAGGTGACAAAACCATACCCACATGATAAGTTGGTTATTTTTGTTCTGCACACTTGCACAGAAGAACAGATGGGTCCGAATGAGTGGAATTCTGCTTGCAGTAGTTTTTCAGTCACATCTTGGTGCAACCCACTAACAAACAGTGACCATCAGTGACTGATGGAGACAATGGAAACGAGCGCTGTCACGGCGCGACATTTGGCACGGTCTCCCTGCTACACGAATAGTAGTAAGGCTTTCCTCTGTGTATACATATCTTTACAAGTACAATTTTAGCTGTATTATTTGTGTCCCCTTTCAAAAATCGAAATTTTATGTTTATTGTCCCCCTCTCCCCTTTTACCTTTACCGTAATATGGAAGTTACAACCAGCAGCTGTTTAGTTGAGACACATTCTTCAAAGTATCTTCTTTTGTGTTCAACAGAAGAAAGAACTTGATGCAGGTTTAGAACAACCTGGGTAAATTATTTCTAAGTTTATTTTTGTGTGAACCATACCTTTAAAGTGACAGACACTATCCTTGCTTCTAAAGATGTAGGCCTATTGTTTTATTAAAATTTGGATAGTCTGTTAATATAATATTCCATACATTAGCCCTGTTTTGTCCCATGTCTCAGGAATGACATAATTATATTTTTAGACATGGTTAGACAGATAAATTAATATATTATAATTAAGGTTAGGCCCTATTTATTAATTTATCATCGATATTCATCATAAATATATACATAATAAATAATCATATGTCATATGCAATTTGGCATTTTAAAAAGTAAAAAAAATGCTAAATTGTTTAGATAAAAATGGAACAAATAATTACATAATAATGTAGTCCTAATTCAAGCAAATTAATAAAAAAAAAATTCATCCCATCCAGGTAACAGCTGCAGAACTGTCAAAAAAGACTAATAATAATAATTAATAATTATAAATAATCAAAACCTAGTTTGTGTGCACCTGCAGTCAGCAGGTAGCCACTGTTGGGATATGCCTGCAAAGTTCTTAAGTGCTGCTAGTTTACATTGCTTATATTTAATATAATTTAAAAAATGCAGGTGTAAATATTGTATCACTCATGCTTTGAAACTTTATTAACAGTTAAGTTTGCTAATTTTCTAACCAGTATGTCCCACAAAGGCCATTTGAAGTTCCCAGTCTGGTCCCCACACTCGGATTGTCATATCTAATGCAGTAACTACAATATCCCTAAATGGACAGTAGACCATCCCTGTGATTTCCCTAAAAAAAGAGAATGATTAAATAGAACAAACATTAAGATTTTACATACACATCCGTTTCAAATAACCCATTTAATCACAGATTTTTCCCAGTTAACGGAGTGCATGTATTTTACTCCTTTGACAAGCCAATGAAACAAACCAGATGCCTTGACAATAACAATAAAGCAAACAATAATTTATACGGCAATATATTGCTGCAGGGATGACATATTTAATTTTGATTTGGTTTAAATATTCATATTTGTTTTGGTTTAAAATAAGGTCTGTTGTTGATGCAAGATATTTTCACATTATTTTTGAAGACATAAAATACATCATTAATACCCCTTTGTCATTATTTAAGGCTTTTACTTATCTTGATAAAGGCGGTTGCTAACAAATGGCTAAATAAGACTACAGAGGTTGTCGGGGACATTAAACATCATCTCGCCAAACAGGTAAAACACATTGACTCGCTAGTCTGCTTTTACAGCCTCACTGCGTTGCAGCCCGATCTTACAAAACTATTCTAACTTAAACTTTTGAAAGAATTGAAAACACTGAAAGAATTGTTGGAAGCTCAAAAGGGGTGATGTTGAAATCATGTGACCATGGCGTAGCGCATTTAAAGCCTACAGTTAACTTTTTACTTCTGGTAACTGTGCTTAAGCATCGAAATTCATAAAAGTTGTGAAGTTGCTCATTTGTGAAGATGATCATAATGAACAAAATGTGTTAAGAGTCATAAACGTTTGTAGGTCACAGTGCTTATTTTCTGCAATAATCCAAAAGCCAGTGGGAAAATACTATTTTTTGTTGAGGGAACCAGGGTAATGCTAACTTCCAAGTTGGCCTAAAAAGCACATTATCACTGCATGACTCCGTAATCAGAAAAAGGAATGATCCAAGAATAAGTTTTATGTGAATAAATCAGTTACTTAAAATAGGCTCTGCATTTAAACAGCTCTGGTCATGTGACTTGTTTATACCAGTCACATGAAAAGTCCTTCGAAATCACGACAGTCTGCACTTTCATTAGTTGCAAAAATTTAGTAATAAATGTTACTGGTTGGATTATTAATGTTTCCAACAATAGAGAGAGAGAGAGAGAGAGAGAGAGAGAGAGGAGAGAGGAGGAGAAAAGATGTTAGGTTTGATTTATATTCCATAGCTTAGCATGAAATGAATCCTTGTAAACAGGCCTCAATACCTGCAGATGGCTGAATTAATACAAAACATTAAAGGCAAACCTTAAATGGAGGTTCTTCTTGTGCTCCATAATGCATCCCTCTGTAAGGTCCACCACAACTACAGCTCATCTGTATGCAGCCAGTGCTCTGAGGCCCTGCCGAGTCCTGCTAGGCATCATTGCTAGTTGTGAAAACAGCGTGTCTCCCCAAACCCTCCACCACCCGTTTGCAACACACCAAGTGTGTGAGGCACCACACACATACATTTCCCTTTCCAGCTGTGACAAGCTCATTAGAGTGCTCCAAAATCTGTGACACAGACAGATGAAAACATGTCTCTTTCATTCACTTTAAGTAAGTTCCAGTGATCCACTTATGAATCAAACTGTGTCATGATGTCTTCACCAGTGGTTCTCAACCTTTTTGTCCACAACAATAAAAATACCCCCTTTTTTAAATCACAGAAATTAGAAGTGTTCAAAATTCAAATAAGATAGAAATAAATAACTAAAATAATTATTATTTAAACTGCAGAATTACAGAAGTTTGGGGATGGATTAAATACAATTTTAAACAAATTAAGAAATAACTTAATTTATTTTATTTTAAAGGCATAGTTCATCCAAAAAAGAAAATGGTGTCATGATTTAATCTCATGTTGTTCCAGACCTGTATGAATTTTTCTTCTGTGGAACATACAAGCAATGTTGGGAAGGTTACTCTTGAAATGTAATAGGTTACAGATTACAAGTTACCCTATTTACGTAGTGTAACTCTTTCAATCACTTTATTAATGTAACTGATTACATTTGATTATTTCTCTAAATTTGTAATGAATGTTTTCAACTGTTAATCATTTTCAAACATTAAAACCAGACAGCGTTAACCTTACATTAGTACTTAACACTGATTACTGTCAGACTTTCACAATCCAGACTTTCAAAATTTTCACGAGTTTGCCTGCCCATTCAGCCCTGCCAGATAATGAATGGTAAACGAACTTGGCTTGCTGTCCAAAAGGAGGCTTGAACCCAAGGCTCAGCTCAAGCTCTAAGAACCCCAAGCCGGTCCAAGAAGTACCCAAGTCAGTAACTGTAACTGATTACAGTTACATTTATTTTGTAATTAAATTATGTAACACTGTTACATCAAACTAGTTACTCCCCAACACTGCATACAAAAATATATTTTGTATGAACAAAAAATACAATGGAATCAACCAGAACCGGGTTTTTTTTCATCCATTTTTGGGACTTCCGTGAAGTTGGCCCCCCACCCAACGCAAAAGTCGCAAAAATAGTCTCAATCGTTTGTGCTCCGTTTGTGCTGTAAAAATTTTCGTTTGTGCTGCTTTTGTTTGTTAGATATAACATATTTATTTAAAGGTCATTCTCAGGTCACCAGCCCCCCTACACGCTCCAAACTCACCCAAAATAGTCTCAATCGTTAGTGCTTCGTTTGTGCCGTAACAATTTTCGTTTGTGCTGCTTTTTATTTTCTTTTATTTAGCATTTTATTTTGGGTTCCTCACTTATTCAATTTCTTACCAAATTGTTGGATTGTAGTGATGTTTTATTAGAACAACAACTTTTTATCAATGTTTTTTGTAGTCATTGTGGTGTTTATTAAAATAATCTCAATATTCATCTGCTGTCAGACTTTTTCTGTCACTTTCTCTCTTAAAATAGTTTTGTGCGCGAGCGCCATCAAGTCGTAGCTTTATGTAACTTCAGCGCTTTTGTTCTCACCTAATTGAACTTATTTACAAAGAGTATCATCTGATACACTTCATTCCCACCACGAGGTGACACTTCTGTTCAAGATGCTCTTGTGGAAATTGAGTTAGAGGAAAAGTTGATACAGTTACAAACTCAAATTTCTGGCCAATGTAAGTACAATGTTTTAACAGTGTCAGTTCACAATATTATTAGTTACCCTTATGAAAATTAACCATGGTGTTACTACAAATAAAACCATGGTAACCATAAATTAACCATGGTTTTGCTGCACTAAACATAGTTTAACCATGATATTTGTAGTAAAACTTTTATACAAATGGTAATGAATATGCCAAATAATAAAAAAAACTTGGTTACTACACTTTTACTATACTAAAAAATGGTTAATTTTTGTAAGGGTAACTTCAAGAACAACGGTACAGCATTCAAGTGCGCTAAGATTGTCAATGTTTATTGAACAGAAAACTCATTGCTAATACTTAAATCACTCATACCACTAGCAATTAAATGCCAATTACAGTTGCATATATGACCCATGTTAGTTTTTAGAATATGTTGTGCATTTAGGGATCAACATTACCGTATTGTTAGTAATATAAGATATAACGTCCTTATATATTATTACTATATTATCCTTATATTTGGACCAATACAGTAATGCAGGTTTATACTATACATGACATTTTTGGAGTCAGGATTATTTAAGTGAGTAATTATGTTTTGCTTATGCCAGATGCCCAAGAAACCAGCAGTCGACAGGGATTCCATTTTCACAGTCCTGTGTTCATCAAAAGAGGCCATAGTCAAAAATGGCAACATAGCTACTCCTAATCAGAACATCTGGACAGAGCTTAGTAAGCAGCTAGAGAACAAGATCACCGCAAAGGCTCTATATACTTTTGTTAAATTAAACAGACACAACATCTGGACTGCTTTAGGGTTTACTCATGAAAGTGATAATGAAACAAGTGGCAGTAGTGATGACACTGATTTTGAGCCAGGGTCCCTTTCCCCCAGACCAAAAGATTGCTGGACTTTTGATCTTGAAGTTCCATTTCAGAAATGGATTGAATTTATGCCTGAAACAGTGCAATACAAAAACAAGTTCTCTAAAACACAAAAAAGGAATACACAATTTTGAAGCCTGGCATCTGGACGCATGTGATAAATTTTTTTGCGACGTTTTGCGTTGGGTGGGGGGCCAACTTCACGGAGGTGGGCAATCTGCATCCTGCGGTGGACATCCAACCCCGCCCACATCCAAGTGTGACATCAGAAGCCACGCCCATACCCAATACAACCCCGCCCACGCCAAAGCGTTGTCAGAAACCACGCCCCTATCCAATACGTCACCTTGTGATTCCCCATCGCCATACCGGGGAAACCCGGAAGTAACGCTATGTCGAAGCAATTTATGGCAGTTTCGAGGATCTAAATAAAATTATGTTGTCTTTCGTTTTACTAATACACATTTTCTTATTTCTTTAAAGGATGTCTAGGCTAAAATGGCACAACTTAAATCTAATATATTTAATATAGGCTATCTAATATTTTGTCATCGCAACAGCATGTAAAATGCTTGCATTGGTTGATTAAATTAGGCTAATTGTAATAAAAATCTTTACACCTTACCTTATTCATTTATGTAATGAGATAAATTCACATTTATTATGATCGATTTTGACCCACCTAAGACAACTTTTAAATTGATCAAATTTAAAGGGGACAATTCAATTTTGTTATTGTAAAAGTCACAACATATTTTGATATATTTATAATTGTCATTTGATTTTCTAAAGATGTGTTCCACTTATCATAAAGTGTTAACATTTGAATGATAGGATAGACTGTTCTCCATATGCAGTAGGCTACACATACATAGGCTAAACAGAGAATGCTTGCTTTGATATATTATATAAGTAGCATGACATTGACCTTGTTCGTCAACAAAACTTGATATGAAATGTGTCCAGGTCCTCCACATACTTAAAGATGAATAAACAGACAATTTTTAAAACATTATATTTTAGGCGATGACGTCACCAGCCCCCCTACACGCTCCAAACTCACCCAAAATAGTCTCAATCGTTAGTGCTTCGTTTGTGCCGTAACAATTTTCGTTTGTGCTGCTTTTTATTTTCTTTTATTTAGCATTTTATTTTGGGTTCCTCACTTATTCAATTTCTTACCAAATTGTTGGATTGTAGTGATGTTTTATTAGAACAACAACTTTTTATCAATGTTTTTTGTAGTCATTGTGGTGTTTATTAAAATAATCTCAATATTCATCTGCTGTCAGACTTTTTCTGTCACTTTCTCTCTTAAAATAGCAAAAATAGTCTCAATCGTTTGTGCTCCGTTTGTGCTGTAAAAATTTTCGTTTGTGCTGCTTTTGTTTGTTAGATATAACATATTTATTTAAAGGTCATTCTCAGGTCACCAGCCCCCCTACACGCTCCAAACTCACCCAAAATAGTCTCAATCGTTAGTGCTTCGTTTGTGCCGTAACAATTTTCGTTTGTGCTGCTTTTTATTTTCTTTTATTTAGCATTTTATTTTGGGTTCCTCACTTATTCAATTTCTTACCAAATTGTTGGATTGTAGTGATGTTTACAGTCCTGTGTTCATCAAAAGAGGCCATAGTCAAAAATGGCAACATAGCTACTCCTAATCAGAACATCTGGACAGAGCTTAGTAAGCAGCTAGAGAACAAGATCACCGCAAAGGCTCTATATACTTTTGTTAAATTAAACAGACACAACATCTGGACTGCTTTAGGGTTTACTCATGAAAGTGATAATGAAACAAGTGGCAGTAGTGATGACACTGATTTTGAGCCAGGGTCCCTTTCCCCCAGACCAAAAGATTGCTGGACTTTTGATCTTGAAGTTCCATTTCAGAAATGGATTGAATTTATGCCTGAAACAGTTCAATACAAAAACAATTTCTCTAAAACACAAAAAAGGGAATACACAGTTTTGAAGCCTGGCATCTGGACGCATGTGATAAATCACCACATTTGGCAAGAAGTGAAAAGCCCCTGCACATTTGCCTTTAAAACACATGTGCATTTGATGCTTTTTGTCAATGCTTATGTTGTGCTTTCTGTGATAGTGTCACCTTTGCAAATATTGCTTGTGGTGAGGACTCCAACAACCTCCTCCAGCTAGTGAAAACCATCACCACAAAGGGTCTGAATGCACAGGCCTACATACAGAGGGCAGAGCTGCTGAGTGGAATATTCAAACCTGTCCAACTGAAGTCTGGTGCTCTCCAAATCGACGCACAGTGCCACATCTCCACTATCATTGAAAAATCAGTGACAAAACATGCACGTGTTTACTTCACAAAACAGTGCTCCTCACAGTATTGCAGTCACAGCACACAAGTCACAAAGGAAATACCGTTTGTTTGTACTTCTGTTGCTGTATTGCAGGCTTCTGGTATCGCTTATCTTCAGACCGCAGTGGAAGAAGGCCTTAACCTTCCGGAGTCCCCCTGTCTCAGGCCAATCCAAAGTCCATCAGTGTCCCTCTGCATTCAAGACAGACTCTACATCAGGAAAAGTGCTCTGTGCAGGGAAAGTTTCTCACAGTTACAGTCTGGGAGAACTTCTGTGGATTGACACTGACCTGGGAAGCAACTCCATAGAATTTCCTTTGAGTGAATTTCCCTCCAATCTGATGCTCCAAGGAGAGAGATTTACTTTAAGGGCAGTCATTGCTTTCAAAGGAGGCTTAATCCAGGACGCTCTTGGACATTATGTGGCCTACTGCAGGAGGTCTCCATGTGTCTAGGAGATGTATGACGACCTGAGAAGTGGAGTGACAGGAGTGTCAGAAAAAAACAAAATATGCACACATGCAGTGTTATACACAAAAGATTGATTGCACTGTTTACATGTAATCTCACAAGTATTTTTGTTGTAAACCACACACCCATGTTTTCCTACTCCTGTTTGGAGAAGTTGTTTCTGCTCTTCTGGAAGTCAGACTTGATGGAGTTTGCACTTAAATCTATTATTCTGTGTGGCACTTTTGGTTTGAAGGCAGACAGTGTGGCATGGCTTGTCAGTATTAAGCGTTTTTAAGTTTAAGATTTTAAAGGTCCATTATTTGTGTTAATGAATGTCCGATAGTACACTTTAATACAGTTTCACAAGTAAAATAATTTTGACAATTCATTGAGTCATGAGTTTCCACATACATACATGCATATAATACACACACACACATATAGCTTATGTATGTATAAACACAGAGATACAGCAAACATATTATGGTGCGTGTATTTATGACATATACTGTTATTCACGTAATGACACAGTAACAAGTAAAAACATTTACCTTGGAGTTGGTGTTACATTCCACTTATCCTGTGATCCGCTGTGTCTGTTATAAGTTGGAAACAGTCGATAGGTAACTTAACTAGGATCCGCTTGGATCTTACCTTGTTACTTTAACTGTATAGTTTAAAAAAAACACAGTCGCAAAAACGAAACTTCTACCCGGCACAAACCAGCACAAACGAAGCACTAACGATTGAGACTATTTTGGGTGAATTTGGAGCGGGTGGGCGGGCTGAGTGACCTCATATCTAACAAACCAAAGCAGCACAAACGAACATTTTTACAGCACAAACGATTGAGACTATTTTTGCGACTTTTGCGTTGGGTGGGGGGCCAACTTCACGGAGGTATTTTACGGTGGATTATAACTTTTTAGTCTTCTTGAGGTTCCCTCCTGGTTAAGAACCACGTATCTACACTGTAAACATTTAATTTAATTAAAAAAAACTTTATGTATGGTTTGAAAAGTTTTTGTGAAAGCCACACCTTGCACACCCTCACATCCATGGGCTCCACAGCATGAACCAGAAGATTCAGTTCTGCATCTAGTATGGTGAGAATGACCCCAGGTCCCCAGCCAACCAGTCTGCCTGGCAGATGTGTGGAGGTGAGGCCGACATAACAGATGGAGAGGGATTGGCAAAAAGACGGATCTCTTAGACGGCCATCAGGATAATAAAACTACACATGACCATTACTGTGGAGACCAGCCAAGCCTGCTGCACCCTCAGTACAGGTCATGTGACAAAGTCTCTTCACAGGAGAGGTGGAGGACATGACAAAGGCCATGGGTAAAAATGCTGGGGCTAACATTTCCATGATTCATCATAACAGAAACAGAATGTTCAACAGAGAGGAGAAAAAGTGGAAAAAAGGGGGAATGAAAAAAATAAAATGAAAGGAAATAAAAAGTACTGTGGCCTGTGATGGCTATGTTCATGCGTTATAGTGCCTAAGAACAATTAGGAATGCATATGATACACATAATCTAATACATAACACTATATTTATGTATATGCGTGACAAAATTTAATGTGACAGTCAATTAATTTGAGCTAAAGCAAACTAAACATTCCCTTACTTTATCCATGCTCTCCTTCCACATTTGACAGCTTTTTTCTACATTGATTCGTTCAGGAGATGAACTTTTTAGAGACTCCACCCGTGAGTTCTCCATCTCTTCTTTACCCATCTCCATTTCACCATGTCACGTCACTTACTTGGGATTGGGAAGCTTCGGTCCCTCTGATTAATTTCTCTCAGAGTAGTTGCGAGGTCAAATGATTTATTTATTCGACTTGTATGTAGCGCTAGTTTATAGTAGTACATAACAACATGCTACGTTTTGTTTGTTAGTGACAATTATTTCATTTGTAACTTATTGTACTTTTGTTTTTAAAAATCTGTCAATTCAACTTGGCGTTAAAAGAGCTGAAGGTCATGAACAGAGAGCCGTCCGAATAGAGCCGTTGGGCAACAGTAACCATGGAGAAAACACTAGTTACGCATGTAACTGTTGTTCTGTGAATTCCGGATGACCGCCAGATGCAGTGTAAACACTATGGATTATCGCAGTACCAGCTAGATAGGTCGAGAGAATATACCAACAAAGTCACGTAGTGACGTATGCTGAGCCCTGGGGGGTTATAAGCCACCATAGCTCAGCACTCTGCCTTGGTACGCCTTTCTCGCGCATTCCGAGTGACCAAGAACTCTGGCAGTCATCCGGAATTCACAGAACCACAGTTACATGCGTAACTAGCATTCTGTTTCATTCCTACTGACCGCCAGAGGCAGTATAAACACTATGGATGAAACATACCAACATAGTCATGAGGAATGCCACCCACCTGATGAAAATTAACGCCGCTCCTGAAGAACCGCAGAACTAACGGCATGATGAGCAGCAACATTGATTTTATAAAACCATTCAAACGCGCATGGAGAAAACCATGTAGCGGCAGTGCAGATATCTGCCAAGGAAACTCCTCTTAAAACAGCCCATGAAGATGATGTAAGCCAGTGTAATGGTCTCCACTATCCAGTTTGACAATCTCTGCTTCGACACTGGAGCACCTTTCTTCACACCACCATAGCAGACAAATATCTGGTCTGACTGTCGAAATTGAGCAGTAGAGCTCACATAGCACTTCAAGGCATGCATAGCACGCACAGGACACAAAAGTTGGGTACTTGAATCAGACCCTGAAGAAGTCTGAAAAGAGGCCAGTTCAATGTGCTGGTTTATGAACTGAGGAAGAAGGACTTTCGGAAGAAAAGAAGGATTGGGTCATAGAACCACCCGGGAATCATCCGGCAACTAACGCAAGCACAATTCGTTAACAGACTGCGCGTGCAACTCACTGAATCATTTCGCAGACGCAATAGCCAACAAAAAAAACAGTCTTCAAGGACATCCATTTAATGTCAGTGCTTTGCAAGGGCTCAAACTGGGATGAGCAAAGGAACGTAAGCACAAGTGGCAAATCCCACACAGGGAAGTGAGGAGTCCGAGCAGGGTTCAGACGTCGTGCACCCTTCAGAAAACTGCAGACAAGACTGTGAGATCCAAGAGAAGATCCACCAACTGGAGCATGATATGCGGCAATCGCAGCGATGTACACTTTCAACGTGGAAGCTGCCTTGCCCTCTTCCAGTAAATGTTGAAGAAAGTTTAAGATGCTCGGTATGTCACATGTTGCAGGATCAAGCCCCCGCTCCCCACACCATGCAGAAAAAAGCTTCCAACGGGAAGCATAAATCTGTCGTGTGGAAGAAGCCCTGGCGTTAGAGATGGTATGGATAACTGCAGGGTCACAATGCTCCAGAGAAGGATTTAACCCAATGGCCAGACCCAAAGCTGCAGATGAGCTGGATCCGGATGCCAGACCCTTGCCTCCAGCTGGGAGAGGAGGTCCTTCCTGAGGGGAAGTTTCCACGGATTGCCTGTCAGAAGTCTCAGCAACAAAGGAAACCATGGTCTGGCTGGCCAACGTGGCGCCATGAGTAGCACTCTGTGCCTGAACAGGGAGATCCCGTGTAACGTCTCCCATAACAGAGGGATCGGTTGGAACGCATATAGTAGGCAGTTCGGCCATTCATGAGACAGCGCATCCTGGCCCAAGGGACTGGACACTTCCGTCCTTGCAAGCCATAAATGACAGTGAGTGGTCATCTCTAAAGCCACCATTGTCCTTTTGTAGCATGGAAGCACCTACAACTTCCTAGATTTCTAACCTGTTTTGTATTGGCTGTTCCAAAATTCTTGATGTACATGTCATACTCGTTGACCGGAGGCAGGTCCAGCAGAGAGAAGGTGATGGAGAAGTCTAAATCAATCAGACGCAGAAGTTCTTCACTGCGCTTCCTTCAAATCAAATACATTAAATGTAATTAATTAGTCAACAGAAGCCATTTATTTTTTATTTAAAAAAATGTTTACTTCTAATAACTACTAATTAGATTATTATGAAGGTAGAGAACTTGCTTCTGTTTCTTGGCCACTTTCTGGCTGACCTCTCGCTGCTTTGCCGATACAAAATCAATAATTTTGCCATGTGTTCGACTTCTGTCGGAGTGCCTTTCTGTGAAAACTCAACAAAAGCACAGATTTATGTCTTCGTTTTCATAGTCACCAGTGGAATGTGCAAATTAACAAACGTTTGTTTAACTACCTCTCTGGGTGACAGCTGACTCTGCAGTTGTGGGCTTTGATCTTGCAGAGTAGATTCTCTCATTTTCCTCATCAATGGCTCTCTGGATGGCTTCTATCTCTTCTCTTCTCTTGGGACTCAACTCCCTCTTGTCTTCTCTCAGTTTTTTGTCATGTTCCTCTTTCTCCTCCTCATTATCATCCTCCTCTTCATCAACATCCTCAAAGTCTTCTTCATAATCCTAAAAGCATTACCAAAAGAACAGCTTAATAAAATATGGAATAAGAAAGAAGGAATAAGAATTTTGATGAAGTTTGTTGGTTAGATTCAGCTTTAAGATTCACATAAGATATTAGGGAAATATAAACCCTATATAAATATATAAAGATAATAATAATATATTTAATAAGAATAATATATAATAATTTCATATTTAGGTTAGCTTGTATTCATCATATATTTACCAAAACATTTGTTTCAAAAACTTTGCAGAAAACATTTTGATGTCTGAAATGATGACACGTAAGTAAGACAAAATGAGGGCTTTGTCCTCAACAAAATTTGTTCACCATTTATAGTATTCTGCACTATCAAACAAAAGTCATATATGTAATGGGACCACTGAACTGCTTCACACCTCAAAATCCTCCTCATAATCATTATGATCTTTGCTTGCTTGTTTGTTCTCTTCAGTTTCTTCATTCTCCACCTTGAAACACAAAGACATGCAATTATATTAGCCACAATGTGCGTTTACTCTTTTACTCAAAATTTACAGTAGGGCTAGAAAGCCGAAACAGCTTAAAAAGTAAAGATGAACATGCAATGAAACTATTTTAAATATTAGCTTCTGAGAGAAACAAGTTGTGAGACTCTAAAGGGAAATGCTTTCGTATAGGATCTGTCATTTAGGTTGATCTAGGCTGTTCTTGCTTTTTGTGTTTATTTTTAACATGCATACTATACCTGCAGAACTCTATGTACGTATGTTGTCAGGGCTTTGTATTGGTTCAAGTTTGTATTACACATGATTATTTACTTTACATTTAAGAACACATTTACTTTTTAGTGCATTTACTTACACTCTCTGCCATCTTTAAATCAGAGCTGTACGAATCTGTGCTTATAGCTCTGTTCAGTCAGAGAAGAAACAAATAGAGAATGATTCGATTTGGTCTTAAAATTTGATTTTGAAATTTGAAAAGTCTGATCGAGTCAGGTTTTGTTTACAGTCTGTTTGGACTTCAATTTAATGCACATGCAGTACACAATAGTAGAAGAGTTAACATTAAGTGTTAAATCCATGTTGTTAACAATAGAGAATTTTCATGCAGGAGCTGTCTTATCTTAAATCTTATCTTATAATATTTTAACATATGAAGGGACGTTTTTTTTTACACAAGACGTCCCTCCATGACGTTTTGATAAAAAAAAAAGGACAAAATAAAAAAAAATGTATAGATAAATTGTTCCAAATGAGATCAATAACATGCATTTGAAAGGCTGAATTTTCATTTCGTGCTGAACTGAACTTTAAACAGATATCTTACAGGGATCTCTGGATCACTCATTTCAGCTTGAATAGACCTCCATGTTAACTGAGGTATCTTGGTAGGTTCCTGCTCACCCACACAAATATAAAACATATGCAGTGGAGATTTATAACCTCACAAACCTAAAAAAGCAAATGGATGTCATGAATCTTGTGCATTTATTTGACAATGTTTATACCTCTTTGTCTGTATTTATCCTTTCACTCAGGTCATGACCTGATGAATCTTTATGTTTCCGCTCTCTGTCACTCCTCTTGGATTCTGAAGCCTCTTTGTGCCTTTTTTCACGCCGTTTATCTCTCTCTTCCCTCTCCCTGGCCTTTTCCCTATTCCCATCTTTGATGCCGTGGAAATAATCCTTTGACTCTTTCCACTCCTGGTGATGCTGTTCAACTTCTCGAGAGTGACTTGTGTGTGCCACCTGTTGACAGCAACAACTTTAGCAAAAAACAGTTCCAGTTATCAGTTCCAATGTAGCTCATTCAAGTCTGTTGACTAGCCACAATTTTTAAACATTCCTCCGTAATATCAGTACAGTCAGAATTACATTTTTATTATATTATCAGTATAATATCTTGCTCATAAATAGCAACAATCTTATGGCTTACATGACTTTCTTTATCCCTTCTTCTCTTCTCTCTATCTTCTCTATCTCTTCTGTGTTCTGAAACAAGAGATCATATTAATATTATATTAATTTTTAGATTATCAAAAAAAAACAAAAAACAAATAGACATGAACCTAAAAAACATAGGCACAAACTGTAATAATAATACCTTTTTCTTTGTGTCCAGAGTGTTCTTTATCACTGCGTCTCTCTCTCATTTCTCCCTCCCTCTGTTTTTCCTCATATTCATGTCGATGCTGTTCACTTTCTCTTGCTCTGTGTCTTTCTCTCCTCTCTCTTTCTTTGTCTCTCTCCCTTTCATCTTTTTCTCCTTCTCTTCTCTCCTCTTTCCTTCTATCTGTTTCACTTTTTCGCTCCCTGTCTCTCTCAGCTCTCCTTCTATCTCTATCTTTTTGTCCTTCCCTGTTTGTACCTCTGTCCCACTGATTGTACATGTCTATGTCCCTGTCTTTATATCTGTCCTTTTCTCTATCCCTTCGTCTTTCACTGTTTCCCTTCTCACCTCGATTGTGTCTTTGTTCTTCTTCATCTCCATCTCTGTGTCTGTTGTCTCTCTCTCGCTCTCTCTTTCTCTCTTTATATCTATCCTCCCTGATGTCTTCCAGCTTGTCATCCTGGTTTCTATCCCTGTCTGGGTCTCTGTGTTTGCTCTTCTCTCTTGTGCTTTCTCGCTCTCTCTGCTTTTCTTTTTCTCTTCTTGCATCTCGATCAGGATCTCTGTGACGGCGATCCAGAGATTCTCCATCCCTGTATTTCCTGTGCTCCTCTTCTCGTTTAGATCTTCTTTTGCTCTCCTCACTGTGTGCCTGACAAAACAATGACATTTTTTATGAGTTGTGCTTTTAAACCTCGTCTTTTTCTTACACACAAACAAACTGCTGATTACCTCAATGTGCACTTTTAAGTCATCAGACCTCCAAGTATCTTCTTTTGTTATTTTCTTATGAGAGGAAGGGAAAATGGACAGCAAATGTGTTACAGCTGTGCAGAAAGAAGCTCGATTACCTAATATAGCTACTAACTAAACACAGCTTACTTACAAGCTGATTGTTTACATACCAAGTGTTTTATGATGAAGTGACAGTTTGATATTGAAATAAACAGATTTAACTAAAGCAGACAAGCAGTTTTATTTGGCTATCGATGAGTGGCTAATCGGGCTGTTCAGCTTTACGTTCACATTTTTCAGGAAAAACAATTGCTACACAACAGCTGCTCTATACAGAATACGATTAGCTTTACCTTCACAGGGTACATCACGTCAAAGATCCTCTTCTCACTTCTCCTGTTTAATACAACAATCACAAGTTTTTGTTGACAGCTTTCACCGCCATACCGCTAGACGGCTAAAACGCCTGCGCAGTTTAATGCTACTATGGTAACCTGCCAAGCCATGGTAACAACAGACTATTAAATCGAGCAAAGAGCAATCGCTCGACACAAATATTACTATGGTAACACTGTCGAATTTAGACAATCGAAAAATCGAACTAAAAAGACACACACAATATAAAATATGACCGTGCTTGCTTTGTACTATACACACGAGTAGTAGAATTCAGCATATGTCTACTGTTATTGTTGTCGTCCTCCCTTAGTTTACTAAAAGCAGCAACTTAAAATAAAGAATAAAACTGAGATGAACGCACAGCAGGGAGGATGACACAAGCAGACAGCACATTTTGGCACAAACAGTCTATCAGAAAATATGAAACGAACAGCTTCTTGTTTTTGTTCTTTAGTTAACAGTTAACACTTGGGAGTCGCTTCGCTGTCGACGCCTCGTTGTTTGTGTATCTGCAGTTGCTTGGCTCAGGGTGGCGAGTTTGCGCTGTCCGCGACGCACACTAACCTCCTGAGACCCGCTGTCTGTCTGTCTGTCTGTGTGTGTGTGTGTGTGTGTGTGTGTGTGTCAGTCATAAACCAACACTACAGAGCGCGCTTCTCCAGAGCGCACCAGCCAGCAAGAACAAGTCATACGGCACACGCACAGAGGCGAGTCTTCAGTTATGCACAGCTAGATTAAAGCAAAGCGAGCCAGTATCCGCGTCAAAATGGACTGGTGTACGGGCCAACTAACGTGAAAACATCCTTAAATTGATTTAGCTGAGCGGTGTACTTAAACCTTTGTGTACCGCGAGCACGGGATGATCTGAAGTATCTTGTTTACTCTCGAAGCTTTTGCATTGAAGCACAATGTACACGTTTGACAGCCGTGCGTAACATTTCGTCCGCGCTGACTATGACAGAGGACATAATGACGGCTGTGCGCGGAAATCTTTCTCAAACAGCAGGTGCCTCGGGACAAAAGGATAGCGGACAACCTGAACCGACAAGCGGGGCGATTCCTTCCTCCTCACCCGCGGAGCTGAGCCAGGACTCCGCGTCCTGCACCAGCGAGCTGACGCGCACGTGGCTGCAGTTCGCCAAGACCTTCGTTTTTATCTTCCCCATATATGTCTTGGGTTATTTTGAGTTCAGTTTTAGTTGGCTCTTAATCGTACTCACGGTATTTTTCTTTTGGAGGAGAAACACTAGGTGTAAGAACACTAGGTTGAATAGAGCACTTTCATTTTTTGAGCAAGAGGACAGGGTTAAACAGGAGCTGGAGGCAACTGAGTTACCATCATGGGTGAGTTAAACTCCTCTTTTATTGATAACGATTACCGTGTTTCAAAACATATTAGTCAGCACATTAAATTAAGAGGGAGTTTATTTTATTTTCTAAATGATATAAAACTGTCCATCCCCAAAGCTGGACTAAAAAGACAGAATGGGTTCTCTGTAGTGGAATTTGATGAGATTGATGTCCATGACAACATAGCATAACTTGTTTAGCCCTTTGTGGGTGTAAATGCTGTTTAAAATGTTAAATTTGCTCAACAAACACAGGATATTTCCTTGATCAAAGTTGTGTTGCTTCATTCAGGCTTATTAAACTAGGACGTCTTTTTTGCTTTCAATGTTGGTTCCATTCAGCAAACTCTGAGTGAGTGCTTGAAACATAACTTTGGATCCCAGCTGATCCCAGGCTGCCAGACATGAGTCAGGCAGAACAAGACTTTTTGCCCTTTCGCCTGTGAAGGTGAACAGTGTTTTTCCAAATGATGCAGCATGTGTCTCTACCAATTTTCTGTCTATTTTTATCTTGTATATAAGCATTATCTTGAGCCTCTGCCCATTACATGGCTCTAATCAAAAGCCAAGTGCAACAAAGTAAAAATATGTTATGTAATGAGATATTTGTACCTGAAGGGGCTGAACCAAGGTCAGTCTGTGTAGTTGAAAATGAGGATTCAGTGCCCTGCAGTCTGTATACTATAAAAATGTAATTTGTACAGAATAATGCCATAAAAATGTGCAGCATGTAAAACTGTAAATAACAATTAAGTAGTTAACTGTAATTATTACCTTACCATATGGTGAAAAAGTGTCACGTTTGCATGTAATGCATGCAATCTTCTTGTCTGTGTAGTGTTAGTCAGTTATCAGATACATTTTCATTACATGGTCTGACAAGCACCCACTACCATCTTTTCATTTAGTCTCCAACTGCTCTGAAGCCTTAATCAAACTACATTCTGGCATGAGTCAATTTGTCTGTGTGAGATTAGAAGTCTGTTGAACTGGTTTATGTTGATGAGTTTGAAGTTGTTGTTGTTGTTTTAAAGAAAATGTTTCACAACAGTGGCATTATGGTTTCTGTTATTATTCACATTTTGTGGGGCCATGCTTTTAAATCAAGTAGTATCTTCTGAAATACTGATGACTTGTTTGTCCAGTTTCTCTGTGATTCCTGGGAAGTGTGTGATGCACGACATGTCTTAAAGAGACATGTTATATCTCTTGCATAAAAGCTTCAAGATTGCCACACTAATGTCTAGTTAAATGCACTACAGAGTTCAAAATATATATTCTTGCATTTTACAAAAATATGTAAATACATGTAATATCTTTTTTAATAAATGTCAGTTATCACAAGCAAGTTTTTTTTCAGTGTCACATGACAACTCTGTATGCCTATTTATAGGAAAACAAACCATTTACATCACAGATAATCAGATTCTCATCAAATTATGTCACTGTCAGGAAGCTATAGTCTATCTATACATCTCTACATTACTGTTGCAACTCTACAATCTGTCTCATCTCTAGCCAGATTTTCTTTAAGGAACATTCCCATAGATATCTGTCTCTGGTCTTGTCAATGAAGGGAAATCCTCAGAGATCTCTAGTGACCATAGAAACACAGTTACCATGGGAACTTTCAGTGTCTTTCCCACATATCATTAATACTAAACAAAATAGTCAATATTCATTTTGGATGGACACCCGAAGTCTAGTGCTGTTTGTAGTGCTGCCTCTTGAGATTACAATAAAGATGTTACTTTTATAGGACATATACAGAAGGGGGATAGCTTTATAGGTGCCAAAACAGTGTCTTCTCAGGCCGAGAGTGTGTTGTGTTCTCAGGTAACCAGATGTGGCTTACCTGAGATTTTTCTTTCAGCTGTTGCTTAATGTCTTGGAGAGAAGCATTTATGGTTTTGCAGCTGTGTTACCATAGTGATGAGATTCAAATGTGCCCTATACATTTGTTTTGCTTGTGTGTAGCATTTGTTTTATAATTTAAAGTTTCAGTCTTAAGATGTTCAATTAAAGGGGCCTTTTGTGGTCAGAAAGGCTACATTTCAGACTGCAGAGGCAAAAGTGGCCCAAATCCTAAATTCTTTCTTTTTTTTGCTAATAGATTTAGATCTGTTTTTGTTTTCATAACAATGTGAACAGCACAAACCACATGAAATCTGATCTTTTTGGTTCTGATTTGGGCCGTTTTAGGTCATAAGTCACATACAGGTGTGATGTTTTGCAGTGAGACCTCAGTCTGAACGGTCATATCATAATGCATGCGAGGTTTATGTCACTCTGCATTAACATTCTTTAATAAGAATTCTGCATTGACGGGAGTCGGGCAAAGATTTTACATACCAGAATATGGAAGAAAGCTGCAAAGGTAGTCAGTGGAGAGACAGTGAGTTGTTATAATTACGGTTACAGCTCTATACAAGCAAAAGTTGAGGGGAAACTATATGAGGAAAAACTTTGCTCTCTTTCTCCTCATCCTTGTCCTCCCTCTCACCTGCTCACAAATTTGCTGGCTTCTGCTGCACATCACCTTATAAATGAATGCATAAACCCTGACTTCAGTGACCTCCAGATTTAGTTCTGTATGATAGAGTGCTGTGTGACATCTTTGTTATTCCTTTTGTGCATGTGGGTCAGTTCAGGACCATGACCAGTTCACACTCGAATCAGTTATTGGCCACAAAAATAATGTGAAAGTCCATACCAAAAATGGATCTGAACAAAAAAGGCTTGCAGTGTAAATGTAGCCATAGGCTCAGAAGTTCTTTGTGTGGTCATAGTGCCTGTTGGGTGGAAGATAACTGTATTTTTTGATACCTGACAAGTTAAAAGGGTAGTTAACCCGATTCTGATTCTGTTATCATTTACTAACCGTTATGTCATTCCACAACCTGTATGACTTACTTTTTTTCTGTAGAACACAAAAGGAGATAATTTTTTGTCGATATATTGAAAGTCAATGGCGTCCAAAACAACACTGTACCCCATTGACGTCATTGCCTTTTATTGTATGGTACTGCTTGAGAAGTTAAAAAAGTGCAGTGTCAATGTGTCATCTTGCTCCCTTACATTGCATGAAACAAATGCAGGCTAAGCATTTTACGCATGCAGGCTTTTAACTGCAGCTACGCTCATCGCTGATCCTATTGCTCTACATATTATAGATGTGATAATTCCACTGAAGTGAAAGGAAAGAAGAGAATACACATGGGTGCCACTTTTTTGTATAGAGAACCTTTCACATGTTTATATAGTAAGTCTTTTTATTTTGTCATACATTGACTGTTTATTTTTCATGCCATCTGTGGACCAAGGGTGTGCGTGTGTGTAATAGCCAAAGGTTTTTTTTCAAAGACACTGCAGCACATTTACAGAAACAGTCTTGTTCCTTCTCTCTTTTATTAATATGATAAATTTGTCTATTTCTCCACCAGGTTCATTATCCAGATGTGGAGAAAGTTGAGTGGCTAAATAAGGTGAGAGAATTATTAGATAATAATTGCCTGTCCCTCATAATTTCTAAGTAATCATCATCCAGCACTCTAATCTGGAATCTCTGTTACTCTCTTGCACTCTTTCTCGCTTTCATTGGCTGTACACTGGTGCTATAATCCAGTGCGTTTTGCTCATGTTACACTACACAAGTACACATAGCATCCATTTTTCAACCTCTGTGTCAAAATCAGTGGCTTTTTAAAATATTTAAATACATATATATTCAGTGACTACCAGTCTTCATAAAAATACCTGATTTGAATATTTAATTGGAATTTTGCCCAGCGGTGTAATTTTTGTACCTGAATGGCCTCATGCTTCTGCAAAGTATGTCTGCAACATTCAAAATCATGCAAAACTATTTACATGAAACACTGCAGAATCACTGATGTTTTTAAACATGATAAAACTGAGGAGGATAAAAACATTTATTGTACTGTATCATTCTAATGTTACAACCTAAATTTTCACACATGCATTTTGAAGCTCATAAATGTGATTGTAACGATGACGTGAAAGCAGAGTTGAGGATCCAAATGCAGCTTTATTCAAAAAAGTGGTCAAAACAGGCAGGGTCAAACACCAGCAAACAATCATAATCCAGGGTGAAACAAAAGGGTAATACACAAAAAAGGCGAAGGTCAGGGCTAGTGATGTGACATTTGAATTGAGGCATCGGAGCTTGTGTCGAGAATAAAGGGGCGTGCCAGATGAAGCCTCGATTCGAAGCTTGTGTTGTTAACATAGAAATCACGTGACCAATGACAAACGAAGCTTCACTTTCTGTCCAGTCACGTGCGCGATTCACTTTGCGTGTCGGAATGTTCGAATCCCCAGATCTTACTTTACGAGTAAGTTTTAATTCGGACGTATTCAGTTACATTTTAGATACCCAGTCATACAAGTAATATGAAGAATACAAATTATTTCATCAAAATTAAATATTTGTCATATACAATTCATATATGTACATTATTCTTCTATAACACCATATTGATATTCATACTGGTATTAAATTGCAGAGTTTAATGGGTAAATGAATTTATCAGAGAGAGAAATTCAACAAACACAAACACACACTGTTAGGCTTTTATTTGTGCATGTAACTTGAATCGATCTGTGGAATATGTGGTAGATGCCTCGTCCTATGGAGCGTCTTTCACAGGCTTTTGGCTGCTATATTTTTTATTAACCGCCAGATGGCGCTGTTTTCGAGACACTCGAAGCTTTGAATCTTTTCCCGAAACAGTTGGAGGAAAGTCTCAGTGCTTCACGAGGCTTAATTTGCCCATCACTAGTCAGGGCAGGCAGCAAACGATCAGAAACAAGGAAACGGTCAAAAAACACCAAGGCAAGGCAAGAAAACAAGGAACTAGAAAACACGGCAAAACACTAAGACATTATAGGCTATCAATACTGAGCCATGAATGAGTGAAAAACCAGGCTTTAAATAGGGTGAGACTGATGGAGGTAACAAGATACAGGTGAATGCAATCAGTGATCAAGAGTCCAGGCAAAGGATTATGGGGAATGTAGTTAGTGAGGGAGTGACAACAGTCTGGGGTGCCCTCTGGAGGAGCTCATGGGCAATCCAGCTGGTGATCGTAACAGTCATATACATGTAAAAACATTTTTAATTCTGTCTCTTTTTTCATTATTTGGCTATCTACATCACTAACTTATTTCAAAGGTTTTAGATATTATTTTGTTTCTTTCAGACACGATATCCTACATTCAGTTTTTAATAATTCTGTTTGTGCTGTACCAGTGTGACTACCTGTTCTGTTGTCGTGGAGAATAGTTTCCAAATGCCTAGAGTTTTTACAGTTAGTCAAGTTACAACATGCCCTCGGGCCTGTTTAAATGAAAACTGTGAACCTTGTATCACATAACCTTGTTGTGGAAAAAAATATATTTTACACGTATTGAAGATTTTGTTTTTATGAAATGTAGTCAAGAGAGTATCAAACAACAGTTAAACTTTTTTGATAACTAATGAGTTTCAGACCAGCTTGTTTATCATACTCAAGTCAGCAGCAGTAAGAACTGAAGATGCCTTAAGTGCCTCCGTTTACTCAGTTGCATAGTACTGAGCAGATACACTCTTATGTCTTTCAGACAGTGAAACAGATGTGGCCTTACGTGTGTCAGTTTGTGGAGAAGCTGTTTAAAGAAACAATCGAGCCAGCAATCAAAGAAGCCAATGCCCACCTCAGTACGTTCGGCTTCATCAAGATTGATCTTGGAGATCAGGTATGCATGCTCACTGCCTATGAACATTCAATGCTCACAAAGTGCATCCTATTAGAGAACATGTAAATCTTTGTTCATGATGTTTAATATAACATCAGTCAAGCTGGCTTTTATTTTATGGCACTTTAGACACCAACATATTGCATACACTTTTTTGGCTCCTTTCCCTCTCAGTCAGCTTGTGATTTAACATATCCAGTTATTCAGAGTGTAATCTTGAAAAGGAAAACCATCAGTTAGCACCATGGCTTAGCAGTTAATCCACACAAGGCCACATTTTGTGGTTTTGATCAAACAGACAACACGAGTCTCCACCTCCTCTACCCATTATTTCCTGTGCTGTCACCACTGTCCCTATTAATTTATTTTATTTTTATTTTTTTTTAATTAAAGAAATCAGTAGGCATTGCCTAGCCCATTCACTCAATATAACTCAATATAGGGCAATGGATTTTATAGCTATAGAAATATTTTAGCTATGGGTATTTATATATTTATAGGCACAGTGGAAGTACAGAATGGCAGTGTTTTTAACAATTCAAGGCCATGCTATTATACTCCATCACAGAAGGTTTTCTGTTGTAATTATTTATATTTATATATTTGTAATTATTTATTTATATTTAGTGTAGTTCATCACCTAGACATTTTGTTGTTCTTGTTTTGTAGTGTTCTCTTTTCCGTTTCATTCAAAGACTGTGTATGTTATTTGTGGTACAAGACCATCTTGCATGTTTTATTAAAGATAAAACATTGCTTAATGACTTTGCACTGAAGAGACATTGCACTAAAAAGCTATATATTGCATCAGTAGGAGGAAGGTTGACGTAAGAAATTTAAACCTTTTGAAAAAGCTGACCACCTGTCAGATGGAAATAGTTTATGTTGTCAGGGCTCTGTGGAGGAATGCATGCTGGTTAAAGAAATGTCAACCTCCTGACGGGGCATCTGTGCTCATCTCTGTCACAGCCTCTCAGGATCAATGGGGTCAAAGTTTACTCTGAGAACATGGACAAACGGCAGATCATCATGGACCTTCAGATCAGGTGACATCACATTATATATGCTATGCTGACATCTTTAGATATTTTATTTAACTTTCTGGTTGCCGTACAGGTTTTAATATTTATCTTTTCTTTTATAGCTTTGTTGGAAATACTGAAATCGATGTGGATGTCAAAAGGTACTACTGTAGAGCAGGGATCAAAAGTATACAGGTATATTGTTATATATTCTCATAAAAATTTCAAGAGTGATAATTCTCTGCTCTTGTGCCACATACAGCAGTAGGATTGCACTGTTATTTGTTCACAACAGACAAACAGCAGCTCTGTTATGTATGGCATCTTCCATTGAGTTTGTCTCCATTACCCAATGGATTATGTTAGTCAAGGCCAGAGTTAATTTGTTGGATACAGGGAAGCTCTTTCCTATATTATGATGCATCCACGTGTTTCATGGAAGGAATCCAGTCGACTGTAGAACGGAGCCTATTTTTATTTTTACAGAAAGGGTATGTGTGTATTTATAGGGAGGCATGTAACCAAATACTAAAATGCCCTTGTACCGTTTGTAGTGCATGATCAGATATATACACACATGCTCACACATTGACCGTTTTGTACATGATTTATGGACTTGTTTCATTCTGTCGCATTAAATGCATAGCAGAGTAAACTCTCTGTGTGACAGCATGCTGTGTTTATGTATGATGTATTTTTTACTATATAGCAAGGAGGTCTATAATACCTGGAGAGAGCTGTTAGCATTCGCATTCATCTCTACGACAGTTACACAGGGAAGTGTGAGACAGCTTCGTAGACACTCAGTTCCAGAAAAAAATAATAGCACATTTCATGGCTTTTAGAGCACTCATAAAATAATTAGCCACTGGTCAAAATGTACAATAATATAATGAAATACTTTTGTGTTTTACGTGTCACAAAATTCAAATTAGGGAGCAAGGCAAGACAAGTTTATTTATACAGCACCTTTCAGACATAAATTCATCGTGCTTTGCATACAAATAAGAAAAAAATAAAAATGTATTTAAAATGTATTGAAAAGAATAATAAAACAAGTATTAAAATATAGTAATAGAATAAAACAAATAAGAAAAACATTATTATTATTATTATTATTATCAGCTATGACATACTCACTCATACTCGCGCCACTGTAATCACTGTATTGCAGAATGAATAAGGCAGAAAAAGCACTTAATATATACACTGGTTGATCTTATATAACCTCTTCCACATATCATGATTCCATAAAGGACTACTTGAGACAGGACATTCCCTTGAGTTATTTGTTCTCATCAGCAGCTCTTTGGTAATGAATTATTGTTCAAAACAGAAGCTTGTAATTCTGTTACTCAGAGCTGAAGTGATGGTTGTGAAGGTGAATGTCTATCACTGAGCATGTGGAGTGCTGTCAGAAGCAAAACAATAAATGCATCAGTGTTGAGATGCTGAAACATTCATCATCAGCCTGGGGCGTATAGTGGTTAGATTGACAGCGCTGCTGTCTCACACCAGAAATCTTTTTCTTGTTTTCCAAAAAAGAATACCCATCCTTAGAACAAAATAAATTTACATGAGGTATAAATTTGATATAAAAAGATATTAAGACTTGATGTCTTTTTTTTAATGCAGTTCTGTCATTCCATTTGAGGACTCCAGTGATAAAGTGGGTTGTTCCTAATTAAGGCAGCAATACTTTCATTAAAATAATCTGGTTAATGCCCATTTTTATTTAGCTTTTTGTAATTGAGGATATTTCATATTGGCTTAATCGGTACACACCAAACCTCTGAGAATCCATACCAGTGTTTTGAAATTTAATGTGATGTGTCTGTCTCTCTCTCTCTGTGTGTACTTGACCGCATGTATGAATAGCTACATGGAGTTCTGCGGGTGATTCTTGAGCCACTTTTGGGGAGTATGCCGCTGGTTGGTGCTCTTTCCCTCTTCTTCCTCAAGAAGCCAGTGAGTTTACAACTATTTATTAATACCTTTTAATATTGTCTGAATTATTGCCTGATGAAGACTGAAGTGATCGAAATGTTGTTTTGTTTCTGATCAAGTCTGGAACTGTAATATCAGCGTGTGGACATGTATTCCCTGTTTTCACATTTGCTGCCTCTTGTCCTGCAATGCATTGGATTTGAATGTGAGCATTTTACCAAATAACATTGATTTTACAATAGCATACAAAGGAGCTTTCTTTTGTCTCTGTGATGCTGTTGTTTGCAGTTATTCAGCCCTTGAGATTGGTTGTATTACATTTAGCAGACATTTTTTGTAAAAACTTAAATGTGAATAAACATGTTTCTACTGTACATACAAAGTCCTGGGTGAGTGTTAGGAAGGAAGGATCTCAAGGAAGGAGTGTGTCAAGTTTCTTGTTAAACAGCAGGAAATAATTTCACTTTTCAAAGTGCTTCATAGAGTCTTCGGTAATGAGTGCATGCAGGAGACAGAGAATGTCTAGGAAGAATTAGTTTTACTTCCATCAGCTGCATGTTGCGGTCTGTCCAAGGGCAGCTGAAAAACTTTGAAAGATATCTACAGATGTTGTTGAAATCATTGATGGAGGGGAAAACGTCAAGAACTAAAGAGTTCCACAGTGACTTCCATTGTATGGACATATTCTGAGACATTTCTCAGAATATGTTTTTTTAATGTTGCACAGAAGAAGAAAGTCATTCAGGTTTGGAACAACATGAAAGGATTATTTCACTTCCAGAATAAAAATTTCCTGATAATTTACTCACCCCCATGTCATCCAAGATGTTAGAAGAAATTAAAGGGGACATACACACAGTTTCGGCCAATCTCATGTTCATCTAGAGTACCTATATAGTAGTATTGTGTCCTTCATATCTCCGAAGAGTCTTTAGTTTTATCAGATTTATAAAAAAAAAAAGATAGAGCTTTATGCTTCTCTCTAAAAACAGCCGAGCTCCTGGAGGCGTGCCGTGGGCGGAGCTAAAGAGTCAAACACTTAAGAGCACTTACCCACAGATTGCCAACAAAACAGAAATTTGATGCAGTTTTACTTACCACCTGCGGTTCCAGCTCGTGACTGGGATCTTTTAGCACTGGGACCACTCCATCTTTCAATATCAAACGATGTGCAAATCCAGCGTCGAACTGGCCCTTGTTTATAAAACATTTGTCACTGAAATGACGGGAACAAACAAACACACTTGCGAAACTGTTGCTGTCCCGGAAAAACAAACTGCATCCACTGTTCACAAAACGCTGGGTTCTTTGGGAAGCTGAACAAGGTTATCTTTCCCTCACATCCAAAAACACTCTTCTTTGGAGACATTCTTCTCATGCAAGTCCTGTGCAGCGCTGCCGACAACTTCTGTGACCCGAATGAAGCACGTTGATGGGCTGCTCTTGTTCGCGCTCTATTTGCTGTGTGCGCGCACTCTTCCGGGAGAAGTGCCCATACAAGGAGTTCCACTCTTCGTGACGTCATACAGGGCCATACTCGAGAAAAACTTTCTGAAACTTATACGAAGCCTGAAGGAGTGTATTTGGCACAGAAGTACTCCATCATACATCCAACTCATTTTTTGAAGCTTTGGCCATGTTTAGCATGAGAATTGAGGAAAACATTCCAGGATTTTTCTCCATATAATAGACTTCAATGGTGGCCAATGGACTCCAAATTGCAGTTTCAATGCAGCTTCAAAGGGCTCTAGCCCTTTATTTTTTACAAGCGAACGTGCAAAGAAAGTCAAATGCCCTTTACAAAAAAAGGTAAAACAACGATGTCGGATGATTTTGACGTTGGAGGAGAAAATGAGATTACGTTTTTCACCCTACCCTACCTTTTTGAACCGGAGTACATAGACGAAGAACTAACCGCACGCGACCTTTCCAACGTGATTACTTAATGTGTGAATTTGCGGACGCACATGGCGGAGCTAGTGCAAGATGTGCATTTGTGGTTAAAAAGTATATACATTTTTATTTATTTTTTTTTATTGTTTGTTATTATAAAATTGTTTATTTCACTACATAAGACCTATATTCCTCGACTGGGATAATTTAGAGCCCTTTGAAGCTGCATTGAAACTGCAATTTGAACCTTCAGCCCGTTGGCCACCATTGAAGTCTATTATATGGAGAAAAATCCTGGAATGTTTTCCTCAAAGACCTTAATTTATTTGCGAATGAAGACAGAAAGACATAAACATCTTGGATGACATGGGGGTGAGTAAACTATCAGGAAATTTTTATTCTTGAAGTGAACTAATCCTTGAAGGTTGATGACAGGATTTTCCGAATTTTGACAGAACTATCCCTTTAATGTGCTCATAAAACCACCAAGATATATTGCTTTAAAGATCATCCTTGACCAACTATATATTTTTCCACACACTCCATGAAGTCCACTTTAGTGGCCTATGAAGGATATTTGATCATTTTTCGAGACACATTTGACATGAGGATAGTTAATCGAGGGAGGGTATCCTCAATCAATTCAGCAGATCCAACGGCAATAACACGCATAAGAACTTTGGGGAGTACAACTGATGCATAGTTGCTGTATAATTGGAAGAAAACGTTGTAAAGGAAGAGAAAGTTATTAAAGACATTTGTCTTTTGCAAAACTGAATGATTGAGATTCTATTTAAAGGTTTGCTAAACAGCATAAAATGATCTTAACATCTCTACCATGTGCGTATAGCAGTGGCAGCCAGTCAGCGTCACTGACCCAGATTCTACAGTCTTTCATTACCAGATTAGTAGCAGGGCTAATTTTACAGCAGGTTATCACAGCTCAGCCTGATTCTAGCTCACTTTCTGCTGCTGTTCCTGAATGAAGGCTTGAATGAGGAAGGTGTAGGAAAACTGAATGAGTTTTGAGTCCTGTGTGAGGTGTCCGGTGTCCAGTGTCCTGCGGTCTGACTGTAGTTTGTGATGTACTGAGAGGTGGCCTCTCTTCATATATTCCTCTGCAGTGTGGGCAACGCTGAAACAAATTCACAGAGGGAAAGAGGCTAAGAGAGCATCTTTATATTGCATTTATCTCTGTTTTAATGGATGGTTTGTATTTCTGTGCTTTATTTTCTTCTATCCTTCGCTCTTTCTTTCTTGTTTAAGTTCTGGCACACTGGGACACTGATTGTTTTCACCACAGTAACAAACAGTACATAGTATTGTTATATATATGTTGGCTTTAGAGTGGAACTTAGCATCCACATTGATATTAAATTACTGCCTCAGGCATGTTCAGACATATTTTATTGTTTGTCTTTTTGCGTTATCTGGTTTGTGCTCGTTTTTCTCCTCTAAACAGATATACCTGTATTTTCTCTATGTTAGCAGTGTGTTTAAGTATATGCTTGATTCTCTCTTTCATTCAGCTTTTGGACATAAACTGGACAGGCCTCACAAATATATTGGACATTCCAGGGCTTAAGTAAGTGAAATTTTTCTTCCTACAATGGATTATATCTTTACTTACTAAGACAGCAGTCTTTGTTTCATTTAACTTATTTTAACTTATTTTCATGCAAAGCATTTTATATAACCTGTGATTTGAACTATGGAACTCTTTACCTATTGAGACAAAGCAAGCAAAATCCCTTAGCATTTTTTAATCTCATCTTAAAACTCATTTATTTAGGGTAGCTTTTACTTGAATTTTTGTATTCATTTTATATTATTTTATTTGTAAATGTTTTGAATGCATTTCTCATCTTCTTGCTTATTTTATCATTTTTTTCGTATGGTGTATTTTGTTGTTTTATTTGTTCATGTAATGCGCTTTGTAATGTAACATTTAATTGTGCTATAGAAAATAAAGATTATTTTTATTATTATTATTATTTTCGTGTTGGTTAGGCTTCTGGTTCTGTTTTGATTTAAGGGCCTCTTGGTTTTCGTCCATAGATTTATAAAACGTAGAGTCTAGACCTCTTCTTTTGTTTTTGTCTTCATTTAGTTGTACTTGGATGTGGGCCTGTTTATTGTAGAAAATTGAAAGAGCCTTTGTTCATCAGTTTTAGTGGATAATCAATGTAAGACATCCTTCTTTCTCTCTAACGTATGTTGATTTTAATTAACTATAAGCTTATACGCATATTATAATTGGACTGTCTCACTTTGGAGTAGTAATGAATTTACCCTTTTGGCCACTTCATCTTAACAATTTGTATTACCAGTCTGACACTCCTAACTGAATTTATGTTTTATACATAAAAGTTTATGCTTAAATGCTTGAAATTAGTTTTGTAGACATTTAAATTGTGCCTTCATTTGAATTTCTTTATAAACCTGAAGAGAAATATATATATATATATTTCATTGGTATGGTACACTTGATATAAGATAGCTGATTGATAGCTGACCTTACCTTAATGCTATTGACAATAGTTTGCTTTCTATTAAATAAATGATTAAACACTTTCTTCCTTTGGCTGTGTAATGAAACTTAATGTAATGTAAAATTAGTAATAATATTACAGGTGATTATTATTATAACAAGATAAAGTTGCAATATCAAATATCATTCCAATATCAAACTTGCTAGTGACTATGAGAAACTGTTTGCTTAAAATCAGTGCTTAATTTAAGCCGAATCCTGCCGGATCCTGTTCCAGAAAATGTCAGATTTTGGATTTTTGCATTCCGGTAATTGTTTTTAAGGATCCGGCATTAGATTGTGACAGTGCATGCGTGCATATGAGAGCGAGCGCAGGTTTATGTATTTGGAGGTTATGTATTGGTCCTCAACATATTTTTGACCGTGACCAGTCAGCTTTCTTAAGTTCAAACTCGCTCTCATTGATTAGTGCTTACTGCTTATTGTTTTGTGAGCAGCAGAACGTTTGCAGAGAGTGTAATAATACCATAAATAATACCAAATAAAGTGAAATATTATAATGTATAAACATTATAAACACTATAAACATAGCTATACGTTAGTATAGCTCACACCAAAACAAATCATATAAATGTAATGGAATTCAGAACAGAACAAGAATGAAATAAAAATATATAAACCTAAAGAAACCAAAACAAAAAGAACTGAAAGAACCAGGTGTTAACTGGGCTCACATACCTCTCATTCGGCACAAATCCTAATGTTTCCATATTCGCAATGCATTTGAATGAAACTATTATTTATAGTGAAGAGGCTTTGTACTTCACGTACGTTCGTATATCGACAGAAATATCCTCTTCACATGAGCAAAAATGTGCTTGGCATACAAAGTGGACCAGTTATACCACAGACTATTTAAATTGACCAGTGTAACCTTTTATATTTTTGGTTGACTATTTTATTTTGGTAATGAACAGACTGCGATGTCAAGTTTGAGTTGCGAATATGTGGTGTGTGTGTGTGTGTGTGTGTGTGTGTGTGTGTGTTAAAAATATATAAACCTAAAGAAACCAAAACAAAGCGAAACTGAAAGTACCAGGCGTTAATTGGGCTCACGTACCTCTCATTCGGCACAAATCCTAATGTTTCCATATTCGCAATGCATTTGAATGAAACTGTTATTTATAATAGAGGCTTTGTACTTCACGCGCATGTGTATATCGACAGAAATATCCTCTTCACTGAGCAAAAATGTGCTTGGCATCCAAAGTGGACCAGTTATACCACGGACTATTTAAATTGACCAGTGTAACCTTTTATATTTTTGGTTGACTGTATTTTATTTAGATAATGAACAGACTGCGATGTCAAGTTTGAGTTGCGAGTATGTGGTGTGTGTGTGTGTGTGTGTGTGTGTGAGCGTGCGAGGTGTGATCGAACAGCATAAACATAAACATAAAATACATAATTTTTGGTCATACAGATAAGAGTAAGACATAATTTGAAAGCACAAAGTGTTTACTTTTATCTTTGCACACTAAAAATAACAACAGAACATTTGTGATTTTGTAAAATAATGCAAGGATGCGCGTTTAATTAAAACTGTTACTTATTTAAGTCAGATATTTTTTTTGCATATTTATACCTATACTATGATTGAATTTTATTTTTATGAAAACAAATTTTGTTATTTTTAATGTATCTTAGATATACATTTTACGAAAATCATCCTGGCAACCCATTTTTGACCCAGGGTTTGAAGCTGTGCCCTAGTTAGGTTAATGCAGAAACTTGTGAACGATTGTGGCATCACCGTTTAGTGACATCATTGAATGTTCCGGGAAAACTTGAGTTGTATTTTCAGGGTCGTCACAGCACCTTTTAATTGCTGTTTTGGATCCGGCAATTATTCATTTACAAATTAAGCACTGCTTAAAATGTATATGTATTTATTATCATGCATCATAAACCGAGTAATTTCATTTTGTTCAAAGCAAGGCAATTTTATTTCTAGAGCACATTTAAAACAGCAACTGCTGACCAAAGTGCTGTACAGTAAAACATAACTTCACAAAAACATATACCGACAACATAAAAATGTTAAAAGAATTAAACAGAGTTAAAAGAATAAAACACATCCCCAACAATGCAATAAAAATAAAATAAAATAACAAGAAATTAAAAAGCTAAAGAAAAAAGATAAGTCTTAAGATAAGATTTAAAACTTCCAATATCAGGAGATAGCCTAATATGTGATGGTAAGTCATTCCACAATCTAGGGGCGGCAATCAAAAAAGCATGATTTCCTTTTAATTTCAAACGGGATCGAAGCACAGAGAGCATCATGCTATTGGAAAAACGTAATGTTCTAGAGCAATTTCTAGGGAAAACGAGATCTGTAATATATTCAGGAGCTTGACCGTGTAATCCCTTGTAAACAAACAGTAACACCTTAAGTTTGATATGATATTCAACTGGCAGCCAGTGCAAAGAAGCGAGAATCTGTGAAATATGATCCCTCTTCCTAGTTCCAGTAGGAACCTGGCAGCGGCATTCTGTACTAGTTGCAGACGGGATAAGTAAGATTTAGACAGACCAAGGTAAAGTGAGTTATAGTAGTCAAGCCTCGAAGTGATAAAAGCAAGAATCACGGTCTCCAAATCCTTTACCGATAAAAAAGTTTTCTGTTTTTACTGTTTTTAACAACTGCACTGATTTGTTTATCGAATTTTAGTCATCAAAAATCACTCCTAAGTTTTTTACGTGTATGGGAGTTGGCAGATAGCAAGCCTAATTGATTGTTGATCAGAGTAATAGAGGCCGGTGGGCTAAAAACTACAGTCTCGATTTAGAGTCATTCAGTGTTAGAAAATTTGCAGCCAGCCAAGATCTCACCTCAGTCAGGCAATTCAACAGAGAAAATAAGTTATAGTTATCCTTGTGGTTTAATGGAAAATAGACCAGCGTGTCATCAGCGTAAAAATGATATGGAATATTGTACTTTTGAAAAATACGACCCAGAGGAAGCAGGTGTAGTAAGAACAAAAGCGGGCCCAAAACAGAACCCTGAGGTGCACCGCAGTTTAAAGGAGCTGAGGAGGAAGAGAAATTTCCAACCTCCACCGTAAATTATCTGTCAGAGAGATAGGATTTAAACCACTCTAGTGTGGAACCTTGAATACCTACATAATGTCTTAATCTTTCAAGTAGGATTGCATGGTCAATAGTATCGAAAGCTGCACTAATGTCTAAAAGAACTAAAATAGAAGACTTTCCTAAGTCTGCTGCTACTAAAAGATCATTCAACACCTTTAACAAGGCTGACTCCGTACTGTGATACCTCCTAAAACCCGACAGATACTTGTCTAACAGATTATTAGAATTGAGATATTCGGTCAATTGATGAAAAACCACTTTCTCCAAAACTTCGAAATAGCGGTAGATATCAAGGCTATGGTAGATATCAAAGCTATATGGATCAAGGCTGGCCTTTTTCCTAAGAGGATTTACAACGGCGTGCTTTAAAATTAGGGGAACAGTGCCTTGGGATAGACTACTGTTTATTATGGTTAAAATAAAAGGTTCAACCGTGTCTAAAAACTCCAACAGCAGAAGAGGAGGTACAACATCAAGAGAACAGGATGAAGGCTTCATTTTCTGAAGAACTTCAGAAAGAAAGGAGGGGGAAACAGGTTCAAACTCAGACAAAGAAACTGGACATGGATCAGTGATAAGAACATCCAAGTTAGACTGTGTAATGCAAGAACAAATAGAGTCAATTTTATCAACAAAAAACCTCAAAAAATGTTCACAGATTGTAGGTGAGGCATCAGGAAATGAAAGCGTAGAAGGATTTAGAACCTGATGAATAGTGTTGAACAAAATCTTTGGACTATGAGCATGTTTTGCAATCAGACTTGCAAAATAACTTTCCCTAGCCGTCTTGACTGAGTGCTGATAGTTTACCATACAGTCTCTCATGATATCATAAGAGACTTGGAGCTTATCCTTCTTCCACTTTCTTTCAGCCTTCCTCCATTCCTGTTTAGAAGTTCTAGTAGCAGTTCTTAAAGGGATAGTTCACCCAAAAATGAAAATTTGATGTTTATCTGCTTACCCCCAGGGCATCCAAGATGTAGGTGACTTTGTTTCTTCAGTAGAACACAAACGAAGATTTTTAACACAAACCGTTGCAGTCTGTCAGTCTTGTAATGGAGGTGAATGGGAATCATGGCTTTGAGAGTAAAAATAAAAATACACAAACAAAACCAAATTAAACCCTGCGGCTCGTGACGATACATTGATGTGTAAAGACACAAAACGATCGGTCTGTGCAAGAAACTGAACAGTATTTATATAGTTTTTTACCTCTGATTCACGCAATGTCCGAACTGTTCGAACTGTCCTGAGTGGCGGCGTGCGTTCTCAACAGCAGGTAGGTGGCGGTAATGCACTTAAGTCTGCAATCCGCCGTAAAGCAAGAAGAAGAAGAAGACGCCTCACGGGCCTGCTGTTGAGAACGCGCTCAGGAGGACGTGCCCCTGCTCAGGACTGTTCGAACATTGCGTGAATCAGAGGTAAAAAAAACGATATAAATACTCCATTATAAGACTGACAGACTGCAACGGTTTGTGTTAAAAATCTTTGTTTGTGTTCTACTGAAGAAACAAAGTCACCTACATCTTGGATGCCCTGGGGATAAGCAGATAAACATCAAATTTTCATTTTTGGGTGAACTATCCCTTTAATTTTAAATGGGGCAACAGAATCCAGAACATTGCTACAGAGAGTATTAAAATGAAAAATTTGCTCATCCACAGACAAATCCAACAAGGAAGACATGATAGGGAAAGCATCACTAGAAAACACATCTGCATACAAAATAGCAGTAGAAGAGTTTACAGAGCGAATTTTGCGACCACAGGGCGTAGAGTCAACCATTGGAGTGTTGAGGACAGAGTTAAACAATACTGGTTTATGGTCAGAGAGACAGTAGTCATCAATTTGCAGATTGGTGACTTAAAGACTTAATGAAATAATCAAATCTAATATATGACCCTTATCATGCGTAGGCTTAGACACAGACAAAATTAAATTAAAAGAGTCATTAGGAGAAACTCCTAATGTTTCAACCTGCTCTGTTCACTTCAAATACAGCAAATATATATTGAATAATGTTTACTGTTTTGCCCTGCGATGTATTCACAATTAAATTAGAATAATTACATTTATGCATCATGCATGTAGATTAAAGGTACACTTTATTCAGTGTTTTCCCTAGGAATTATTTAGATGCATTAACTAAAACAATGTTTTCAAATAGCCTCAATAGCCTCTCAGTGTTCTCTGTAATGGCAGATTAGAGAGACCCTTAATGTGTTGCTATAACTGTGTCTTGTAGTTGGAATAGATTCATGAGTGTTGCACTTCTGGTTGTGCTGATCATGCACACAGACACAGACACACACTCACCCTCACACTCACACTCACACTCACACTCACACACACACACACACACACACACACACACACACACACACAGGCGGATGAGTGATTACACCCCTCTAGCTGTTCCTTAGCACAGGCTACTGTGTACAGAGGTGGTTCATAGGAATGTATATGTTAGTATATTGAAGAGCTCCTTCAAAGTATAAATAGTTGATACTGTTTGGGAGCTTGATGTCAAGATAATCCTTATTGCAAACAAACAAAAGTACCATTAGGCTGTGGTCATTAGCACTGCAGCATTGAGAGTACTTGTTTTAAAATCTCCCGGATACCCGGATGTCAAGGCTTTGAGAGTCCCGTTCTATGGTCCAGATGGATTTAAAAAAAGAAAAGAAATTCATATAGTTTCGTGCCCTGTGACATTTACATTTCACCAGGTTAAAACAGTATCTCAAGCTTGCACGGGACTAATATTAGCACAGGACCTCGGTGTTCGGCGAAATATGGTAGGTCTTTTACGGGGGAATTTTTACTTCACAAATTACAGACATAGCCGATTCGCACGGGATTAAGATCACAGACAACCTCCGCAATTATTACAAATGACTGGCGGTCACCAGGTAATACTAATCCCGTGCGAATAGGGCTTTAGGCTATTAAAGTTTATTGGCGCTGCTTTGGATCTTCACTGCACAAGTGCTGCTCCCATGTCAGCCCTGCTCCTTGCACCATATAGCTAATGTAATACTGAAGAAAAGTACACTGGTCTTAGATCTGTCAGTCCAGGCAACCATAATACCCTAATGCAGTGTAATTCTGTGCTGTATATCTGTGGTGTCCCACTGTTTAGGATTGGTGAGTGATTTTTGTAGCCTCAGAGAGCGCTATGCTTGCATTATGAATATGTTTGGGGAACGGCATCTGCTTGGCAAGCAAATCAATAAGAGAGTTATGATTGTCATTCTTTCTTTTATTTGTTTATGGTGTTTATAATTTCTGTTCAGCGTATTGTGTTTTATTACAGAGGAATAAATCACAATGAAGTTGTCTTTTATCACAGAATTTGGGAGATTAAATGTCAAGTGCTGCTGACGAGAGATGAGAAAGCAATTTGGAAAAAAGTGGGGAAAAACAGATTGGAGGCAGGTGTAATGATAGCGTGAATGGGAACAAAATAGATTTTGGTAAATATAGAGGCAGGATGTGATAAGTGAGATAAGTTGAGGTTTATATAAAAATAAACAAATCAGGCTAAAGAGTTTTTATATCTTAAATTTATTTAAAAGACTTTGCTTGGGGGTTTTTGAAGTCTTTTATCTTCATGGAATCATACATTTGCCTTGCACATCCCCATCCAAAGCTCTTAATGGTTATTTAGATGGTCTAATGGCCATAGGGGTTTACGAACACCTTTAGAAATGCTTCTTTTTTTTACTTTGATATGATTGAATGTAGTTACTCAAGCTTAACAAGCTTAACTCGGATGTGGATATAAAGAACAAGCTTTGAGCTTTCTGTCATGGATTCATAGTTTGCAACTCGTATCTGCATCAGTCCGGTTCAGCATTCTTTGTTCTGTTGTTGAGTGTCATGTTTCATTATTGTATAGATGAGCTGGGTTCCAGGGAACGGATCAACTGGATTTAGCTTGAAGCTTATTTTTGTATGTTGAATTATAAGTATGCCAACAATGCACAAAATGGTTCATGTTTCTTTTACCTTTTAGAAGTGTCCTTGGTTGTTTATAAGTGGAAATGTCAAGCTGTTGAAATTTGCCTGCTGCAGTGTAAAATCATTTAAAATGCAAAGAAAACAAATGTTTTGGAAGGGAAAGTACTGTATTCATTGCATATAAGATAATGATTAAGTGTATCGCCATTTTTGGCAGGCATGATGAGTTTATTTATGTTGAATAATAAATAAAAAACAGTTGGTGCTTACTTAATGGTGTTGTTGTTGTTATACATGTCTTTGTTCAGTTGTTTTCTGATTTATTTGTGTTTTTGATAGAACTAGAGGTGTTTTGTTGAATGAAAATGAAAGCTACTTGTTGTTGACTACAGCCATGCTCAAAATGAGTAATTGCTCGTGTGATTAACTTAAATTTTAAAAACAGCAAAGCACAATACTATACAATATACTGTAATATATAATAATATAATACAGAATATTTGTATTGTACAAAATAGTTATTGACTGTCTAAAGTTGACTTGGATTTATTCAATTATTTATCTTTAGCCATCTATGCATTTACTTATTATTTTACTCCAAATTAATGTGGTGTGTGCTGTTTGTATATGCAGTGAGAGATCAGCATGCATAAGACTCAAATCTATATATATATATATATATATGTAATAGTATATGGCAGTTCTCTAAATTTACAAACACACATTTGTACCTTGGGTTCACTTATTACTATGGCAAATCTAATTTATCTTTCTGTACAGTACGTCCAGGTCTACTTGCCTGTGTTTGTGTGACTTGAGGAAACCCAGGCAGCACTGACAAAACTACAGCCTTTTCAACAAAAACAGTCAACAGAGACAGGAGTATGGTTAAAAAGAGAGAGGGGGCGCTGAGGAATGTCAGCAGCAAAAACCTCAAAATGGCACTATTGCTTCGGTGTGTTTCCTCTCCATTGCTTCTCCCCCTGATTGTGCTTGTATTTTAACAAGGCCTTGGTCTGTTTGTGCTGGAACAGACAGGCTGCAGGCCAGTTAGATGCATAACTGTCACACCAAATGTTGCTGTAGGAGTCTGCTGAAATGCAAAAAAAAAATGTATTCATGTTAATGTTACAAAAACATACTTAAATAAACAGTGTCAGATGATCTTTGGCTTTTGTCATATTGTTGGTTTAGTCAGGAAGTCAGCGTTTGAATGTGGGTTTTGTGGTTAGCAATACATCTGGGAGGTACAGGATTTCTCTTTCTTTCTTTATTTCTTTAGTAGTACACAAACTCAATTAGACACCATTAAAATGGTTTAGTTGCTGGCCACAGAAATGCGCTCTCTACACCGCACTGAACAAAACACCGGCTTTTCAGTGATGACTCATCTGAACACCTCTGATTGGCCATTGCGTTCATAAGCTCAAGAGAATCGTGTGTGATTGGTTATAATGCAAAGCGCTGTAAAACGCGTCTGTCTCTGGCTCAGCGCCAGCCAGCGAACGCAGATTTGATTTTAGCAGCTGGTGATGTGCCGCACTGAACGTTCTAATCACACCAGTGTGATCGTATCAAAATACCTTAGTTGGGTATAGGAAAAATACCTTAATGTTGTCTTTAACATCAACACAAGATTTGATCTTTTTCCCACAAAATTATGTATTATGAGAGAGTTACACATCTGTCCATTGCATTGAAGATTATGATTAATATCCAGAAGTACATCACCACTTTTGTACTTTCAAGAAAATTTTATTTAACTCATTATTTATTTTTCATTGGCAGTGGCTTTTCAGACCACATGATCCAGGATATTATCAGCACTTACATGGTGTTGCCTAACAGGATCACTGTACCACTAATAGATGAGGTTGAACTGGCACAGCTCCGTTTCCCCATGCCAAAGGTGAATACACACACACACACACACACACACACTCACACTCACACATCTCAACAACCCCTACAAATATTTGTTCATATTAATATTCATTAACCTCTCATTGTCTTTTGCTATATTCTCTTTCACACTCATTAGGGAGTTCTAAGGATTCATTTTCTTGAAGCTCAGAATCTGGAAGTTAAGGACACATATCTGGGCGGGCTGATTAAAGGCAAGTCTGACCCCTATGGCATGCTGCTGGTCAGCAACCAGCTCTTTAGAAGCAAGACCATCAAAGAATGTCTGCACCCCAAATGGAATGAGGTGTATGAGGTGAATACATACACACACATGCTCATTTACTGCGCTCATAAGACTCATGCGCATACACTGAAATGTGCATGTATGTGGCTGAAATGCAAAAAAAAATGTATTCATGTTAATGTTACAAAAACATACTTAAATAAACAGTGTCAGATGATCTTTGGCTTTTGTCATATTGTTGGTTTAGTCAGGAAGTCAGCGTTTGAATGTGGGTTTTGTGGTTAGCAATACATCTGGGAGGTACAGGATTTCTCTTTCTTTCTTTCTTTCTTTCTTTAGTAGTACACAAACTCAATTAGACACCATTAAAATGGTTTAGTTGCTGGCCACAGAAATGCGCTTTCTACACCGCACTGAACAAAACACCGGCTTTTCAGTGATGACTCATCTGAACACCTCTGATTGGCCATTGCGTTCATAAGCTCAAGAGAATCGTGTGTGATTGGTTATAATGCAAAGCGCTGTAAAACGCGTCTGTCTCTGGCTCAGCGCCAGCCAGCGAACGCAGATTTGATTTTAGCAGCTGGTGATGTGCCGCACTGAACGTTCTAATCACACCAGTGTGATCGTATCAAAATACCTTAGTTGGGTATAGGAAAAATACCTTAATGTTGTCTTTAACATCAACACAAGATTTGATCTTTTTCCCACAAAATTATGTATTATTAGAGAGT